AATAGTGATTGTTTTCCTGTGATAACTTGGTCTCACATGGTTTGCACACTTCATACTTTCAGATAAGGTAGTTCTCATTCAAGAAAACATTCTTAATCATTTCAGTAGATCATTGCCAAGGAAATTGTAAGCCCTACTTTTCACTTGATCTGAATTCCTCACTAACAGCTAGCGTTCCTTTTGGGAAATGAGCATTAGATCAGAGTTGAATGGCAGAAACCAGAAATTGGAAAGTTTCAATATGTTCTGCATAGAAATACTATATGAGGTGAAGACTCTACACTTTTAACACATAAATGGTTAACGCCAAAGGTAGGAGATTTTTATTATAATCATTATAGAGTACTTAATGAACAATCATGGAGATACTTTTTCAAATGTATGAATACAGCATATACCGTACTCCAAAAGTATATATAAATTCTCAATACGATTACCCCATTAAATGTTGGCTGGTCCACACCACAGACAGAAAATGACAAGAACAACCAGTCTTTATCCATGTAACGATCTTTTAGCAGTAATTCAGCTTCAGTTGGTAGTAATAAGTGTGTTTTACTTGACCAAGAGCCTGTGGACATTTGCAAGTTGATAGTTCTTGTATTTCCTCTGGATTATTACAGAAAGCACTTTTAACCATGTAGATTAGTAAGATAACATGAAAAAGAGAAGGCTGTTTAACAAACCTCTTTCTGTATGTGAAAGCATATTTGCAGAAGTGGTTTTCAAAGTGTGCTTCGCTTGCCAGGAGGAACAGTGGTGAGTAGACAGGGCTCCTGCAGCTCCACCTTCATCTGTCCCATTTGTTGGATTTCAGGATAAAGTTTCATTTGATGAAAGATTTCTGGCTTCAAAAATATTTGAAAACTGCTGTAGAAGATTCTAGGCAGTTCCCCATCTTCTTTGAAAACCACAAAAAAAAAAAAAACCTTAAATTGTGACAAGTGGGATTAAGTTACCAAAAATCAAATTACCAGACTCTGTCTATGAAAAATATTATCACCAAGGAAAGCTGTATCATTTTCTTTGCTTTAAAGCTTTAAGAACTATATACATTCTTTTTTCATGTATTTCAAATTGCATTTTTAAATCTTCTTACTGTAAAAAGACAATAGAGAAAGAGAATAAAAATGAAATTTCAACAACTGCAATTCCATTTCCCTCCCCTAAGGCAGCTACTGTTAACAGATTTTTTCTGTTTATTTACATACATATTCACGTATACAGAACTGTTCACATTCTTGCTCTGTTATTCTTCATCTGCTGTTTTCTCTCAAGTTTGGAAGAAAGACTAAGACTGTTCCTCTGAAGTCCACAGCTCTGGACTTCTGATTTGAAATTCTTCGAGACTGAGGAGACCTTGTCCTATTTAATAGGAAATGCAAAAAGAATCTTAGAGACTTATGATAATTAGAGAGAAGGAGTATGAGTGACTAATAACCAGCACGGTTGAATGCTTACCATGGACATGGCTGGAACATGCTTCCCATGGACATGTACTCTTGTCTCCATTTTATCAATAGAGAATTAAGTTACAAAGAGGCTAAGAAATTTGGTATATGATGGAGCTGGACTTCAGACCCCGGTTTGTCCAACTCCAGAGCCAGCAGACTGCATCACTTACTGTATTAGAGGGTGGTTCTCTACAGAGGATCGTGTTTTGGGATACGATGTCCTAACTCTCCAGTCTCATCTCCATGACTCCCAGCCTCCCACTGCATGCTCAACAGAGTTTTCCCTTACCCCTCACTGGCTTTTCATGCCTCTATGCCTTTAAGACAAGGGTTCTCTGAACCAACATTTTCCTTTCAAAATGCCATTCTTTCTCATTATGAGTCTAAATATTGAAGTATTAAAAATTTTTAAACTATGCACATATAAACGCATATATATCATTTTACATACATGTGTTTGTTATATATAATAATAATAATAACAATCAAACTGAAGGCTTTTTGAGACACGACTCTGGCCAGCATTGTGTTTTGCAAGGAAGAAAAATGGTGGTGGTGATGGTGGTAATGGTGGAAAGAATATAATTTTCTTTGAAATTTTAAGTGCAAATTTCTTGGCATTTTGTTAAACAGAAATTGATTCCTTGAGGCAGGGGTCCTAGGGGTCTTATCCAATTAAAGATCTTGTCCTTATGGTCTAGCATGGTGCCTGGCACGTATTAGGCACTCAGATATGTGTTGAATTAGATTTCCCCTTCTCTCGTGTAGTTTTCTCTTTGGTTCTAACAAAGTTTGTAGTTTGTGCCTCTGTTATAATAGTCATCGTACTTGTTGCGTTAGGAATAAGTTTGGTTATTAGTAAAAAGAAAACTTGACCAATAGTTTTCAATTACTTCAAAGCTTGGCAGTCCAGGAATGACGCAGCAACTCATGTCGTCAGGGAACCAGCCCCTCCTATCTCACTCGTCTGCTGTCCTTGGTGTAGGGCTTTTTCTTCTCATGGTTGAAAGATGGCCGTCGGCCCTCCAAGTAGTGTATCTATGTTCTCGGAAGGAAGAGGAAATGTTAGAGGGCAAAGAGTAAATGGTATGACCCTTGAAAGGCCCTGCCTTATGGTTTAGGAATGAACCACCTCCACCCACCCAGGGCTCCCACTTACATCTCATGACATAGACTGTGGCCCGTGGCCCCCTCTAGCTGCAGAACCAGCTCGGAACTGGAATATTGGGCTTTTCGGCCTGTGGCATGGGAAGCCAAGGGAGAGGAGATTGACGTGGGTGTTTATGAAGCCAACCTGTACATCAGCCCTACAGGTTTTTTAGTTAACTTCCTGCAAGTTTACTTTTCCTGGTTTACTGTAAGTCTGTGGAGAACAAAGGGTGTGTTTTGGTAATCTTTGAATCACCCACAATGACTTCCAAGAGACTGCCAAAGCACTTGGCACAGTGTCCAAGTCCACGGTGTGGCTACTCAGTCAGTGTTGTATTTTTTTTTTAACTTTAACTTCCAGATAAAAACGAGGCAGGAATTAGGGTCTCCCAGAATGACAGCGTCCATCGATTTCTATTTGATGACTCATTTCCTCATGTCAACTTTGGAAAATTACCTGGAGCTTTCCTCTTCAAGTTGGGCCATTAGAGAGGACAATTTAACAGGATTATTGCTGGGGATATTTGAAGTAGAACTCAAAAACCGGGAAAGAAATCATAGAAAAGTATGGTGGTCAGCAAGGGCTTTTTCAAGAAAAGTAAAAAGATAGGTAAGAGTTAGGATAATATATGATAATCAAAGAAAAGGTTAGCAACTGAAAGTTAAGAATAGTGTAATGTAAAATATTTTTAGGCAGTCAGTTTTAAGGGAAAAAATAAGTACAATTCATTCACTTAAATTACTCAAATTGCTGCATTGTTCATTCATTTAAATCTCAAATTGCTGTTCTATGTTTACGCTGTTTCTCCTTCAGAACAGATCGTGTGGCCCTTCCCTCTGTCATCTTATTCTTAAATATAAATCATGGAGAATGAAGATAAAGTAATTGAACATGAAGATTCAGAACCATCCACAGGGGTGAATCACACAGCCTCCATGTATCAAGAAACACAGGTATGATCAAATGTAGACCATCCCAACAGTTTCCTTACCAAGGGGACTGTGTATTTCCAAATCTATGATAGAATTGTGTTCTCTTCATTTTCTGTCACTCAAACAGTTCTCCCCATTCTTAGTCCCCAAAGTCATGTAGTAGCGGTGATGACCGGTTTTCCCAGAGAGTCCGTAGCATCTGGCCCTACGTGGAGAGCCTGTGACATGCTTTGTGTTCCCAGCCTAACCCCTAGAATGATTCTGGTTCCTTTTCTCTATCTCTTTATTGCCTAAATTCAAGTAGATGAATGAATGTGAATTCGTTTTCACCACAGATAATTATCTTTTCCTAAACCACTTTGGTATATTTATTAACTATTGCCTTGGATCATAAATAGGCTAATTTTAAACCCAGTATTGAAAACCATAGTGATATTTTATGTGACTCGGGCATTTATAATGCTACAAACAGTGACTCAGTGGTAAATACTCCTCACGTAGTTCTTGTTCCGAGCATTGGACAGCTAATAATAAGCTGTGTGTTCCCCCAGTAAAGCGTTAGCCTTCATTCTCGTAACAGAAATTTAATTTGTGATGTGATGGCTCAGTAACTATAAAAATGAACAGCAAATATATAGTTTTTAAAGATCTTTAATTGTTTTAAACACAGGAGGAAACAGTTAAGAACCCCAGAAGTATAGATGGAAATGAATCAACAAGAGGAAGTAACCTACTGAGTAGCAATGAATCAATGCTCCAAGGAACACCAGCTGAGCCAAATAATTTGCCAAGACTAAGGCAAATATTTGCTTGCCCTCCACATGGTCTACTGGATAGAGTAATAACAAACGGTATGTCAGTGGTAAGGATGAATTCAGAACAGGAGGGTAAAAGATAAAGTTGTTATGAGCGATTCCAAAATAATATGATTTAAAGGACAAAAAGAAGTTTATTTCTCTCTCACATAAAAACTACAAGATGACAATTCATAACGGTTGGTGGCTTTGCTCCATAGTCATTCAGGGTCCGAGGTTGACAGGGCTTCCAAGAGCGCTGTTGTCACCACCGTTCTAGCTAGCAGAAGGGAGGAAAGAGCAGAGAGAGATGAAGAGCATTTTCCTTTTCTGTATCTGAGTAATTTCACAGGATTATACTAGGGCTCCAGCGAGAAAAAATGACAGAGAAATCACTTGGAAACAGAGAAGCACTACAGAAATGTTGGTTATTACTGTCAAGGAATGCCACTAATGTTTGAGCAAACACAGCTCAATTTATAGTTCCAAATGAATCCATCATTTTATAAGCAAGTATCCTGGTTTCCAGTTGAACTTACTGCACTAGAGCTGCTGTTACTTAAAATTTGAAGGGTAGGAAAAGGGACTTTATCTCAGCACTATTCTGAATGTTGTTACGGTTGCGATATATTTTAATGGATTTGGTTTTTGGATGGATTTGGTTTTTGGAGGCAGCCCAACATTATTCTAATGTCAATGCAATGTGTTGAATAAATGGATATTCAGAATCCTAAAGCTGTTTTTGTTCAAAAAGGCAGTGTGTGTGTGTGTCTGCACGTATATTGTATGTGTATTGGAGGATGTGTAATATAGCAAGAAAAAGGAGAAGAGGGTTGATACTTGTCTGTAAAGGCAAATTTAAAGACAGTGTCAAAAATTGTGTTGAGGAATGACAGAATCATTAGAGTAAATACATGGCTTCCCCAAGTAAATATGTTTAAGAATGTAACATGTTTGATCTAGAAGTTATGTTTACTGAAAAATGAGTCTCACGTCTTTATATCTATGCTTCATCTGTGAGCTCTGAAAAACATTTTTACCATTCTCAACTGGGACAATGGAAGCCAAGTATAATATGTTATACTTTGGGATCTAGATATGTTTTTAGTGAAATTAGGTAAGTTTCTAAACTAGCATGAGAAAAAAATCTCAAACTTTATTTAAAACATGTAGAGAAAACCAGGTTCCAAAATATACAGTAGTTGAGAGGGCAACAGATCATTTAATACCTTTTCTTTTCTTTTAATTATTTTTTTAAACTTTCACCATTCAAATTATGGCACACTTCTGCTTAAAACATTTACAGTGCAACAGATGTGGATTGCATTAAGGAAAGTGTGTAGGTGAATGACATGATTTGGAGACTAATTTTTTAAAATTCTGTAATTAATTGTCTATAAAGCTGCCTGAGAAATTGGGACTTGTGATGCATAAACACCTCTCACTTGTTTTCTTGTGCTTCTCCTCCTGAGGCTTACAGGACTGCTCTTTCCTGCACTCAGTCAGTATACAGAGTATTCTTCTTAAGAAGTAAATCTTACATGTGAAAATATTATTTTCTAAAATCTTAGATGATAAGTAAATTGTCAACTAAATTAAGCATGATTTAGAGAAACCTTATAAATGTATTTTTACTATGTATTTAGAACTGCATTTTGAGTATGAGAAAGGAAAAAAAGTTAGAGATTTTTTAAAAATTCATATTAATTGGTATAGCCACTATAGAAAACAGTATGGAGGTTTCTCAAAAGAATAAAGGTTTACAATACGATTCAGCAACCCCACCCCTGGGCATATATGCAGAAAAAAAAAGCTCTAATTTGTAAAGATATATGTACCCAAATATTCATAGCAGCATTATTTATAATATCCAAGACATGGAAGCAACCTAAGTGTCCATCAACAGATGAATGCACAAAGAAGATGTGGTATATGTATATATACAATGGAATATTACTCAGCCATGGAAAAGAATGAAATAATGCCATTTGCAGCAATAGGAATGGACCTAGAGATTATCATACTAAATGAAGTAAATCAGAGAAAAACAAGTATTATATGATGTCACTTATATGTGGAATCTAAAAAATAGTACAAATGAACTTATTTATAAAACAGAAACACATTTACAGACATAAGCAACAAACTTATGGTTACCAAAGGGGAGGGACAGGTGAGGGATAAATTGGGAATAGGGGATAAATAGATACACATCACTATAGATAAACAACGAAGTCCTACTGTACGGCACAGGGAACTATATTCAATATCTTGTAATAAACTATAATGGAAAAGAATCCAAAAAAAGAATATAGATATATACATATATATGTATGACAGAATCACTTTGCTGTACACCTGAAACTAATACAGTATTGTAAATCAACTATACTTCAGTTTTTTAAAAAGGTAGTATTGAAGTGGAAAATTCTTAATTCTGCCTTTCTGGAATTAGTATAAAATTGGGTTTATGCTGTGATAAAATATAATTTAGTAGCTGGCAATTCCTGCTTTCCCATTATACTTCCAAAACTCTTAGAGATTTCAGCCCCAATAGCCAACTGGAAAATACTAAAGGCTCCTTAGTTATTTCATTGTAATAACATCATAAGCGTGGAAAATCTGGAGGGTTTTAAAAGTGGGACAGTGGGCTTGATCTGCAGCAATATGGTAGATGAGACTAAATGAACAATCTCTCTTATGCCAGTGAAAACATCTGAAAGCAATACTTTAAGTCTTTAAATATACCTTTTATCTGTCAAGAAAACAGTCATCAGACACCAGAGTACAAGTAGGAGAGAAAAGTAAACACTCAAGCTGGCTTTCACTCCAGAGGCTTCTGCAAAACACCAGTGAACCTGAGATTTATGAGAACCGTGAGGGTATAGGAGGCCATGTTAGAGCCTGCCCAGGTTAGGAGAAGCATCATAGGAGAAGCCATCTTCCCTCACCCACACAGAGTTGGAGCCCATCGTGATTGTGGATTTGAGGTAAACCTGCCCTGAAGAGGGGCCAGAACTAACCTGTCTAAACTGTGGTGCTGGCTGGGGGAGGAGTGAGTCTCCACTGAAAATGTACTTCATACTGATTCGTGCTCCAAGTTCACAGAAAAAAACTCAAGCTGAACATACATCTAAAAGTGGTTTCAGATTGTCCGCTTCTAAGTACATGGTAGAAATAAATTCAGATCCTGTCTAGGAAAACTCGTATTTAACTTAAGGTTCCAGCAATTCCCAAAAGTAAAGTTCCAAGGAAGAGCTCACTGTCACAAGCAAACAAAAAACAAAAATCACAAACAAACACACAAGGAAACAGATTTCAAAATTTTTCATTATCACAAAATAGAATATAGAATATTTTCAATATTTGTAAAGAAGTTAAAGAGGAAATAGCAAATGTGAGAACAAAACAAATAACTATTTACAAAAATGAGCATATTTTAATAGCCAAATTCTAAAAATGAAAAAGTACAATAACTAAAAATTAAAACTCAGTGGATAGACAACAGAGTAAGTGAAAGGAAAATGGGTGAACTAGCAAATAGACCCAAAGAGATTATCTACCATGCAGTGCACAAAGACAAAGATGGAAAATATGAAAGTATAGTTTGCAGCATGGAGAAGAGAATGTGACTTTTCAGTCATAGTTGCAGAAAAAGATAACCAGGAAGAATGAGGAAGACAAAATATTTAAAGATGTACAGAATTTTCTAGAATTGATTAAAAAAATATAAATCCTAAGCAAACCAAAAGGAAGCCATACCTAAACAAATACTGTAATTGCAGAAGAGAAAGAAAAAGAAAAGATCTTAAAAACAACCAAAGAAAAAGAATTCCCTAAAAGAGCTGAAATTAGACTTAAAAACTAATGAAAGACAGAAAACCAAGGAGTCATATTTTCGAGGAACTGAAAGTAACTCTCAAGTTAGAATTGTATACCAAGAAAAGCTATCTTTTAAGAACGAGAAGAAAGATAGTTCCAGGTAAATAAAATTAAGAATTTTCTACCAACAGGTCTTCATGAGAAGGAGAGCATGCTCTGCCAGAGTGTTTCCTAATCAGTTAGTTTACATGCAGTGGTAAATAGAGAACTGTGTTGGTGCAATATGGAATTTGCACTTTTGTACATAATTTTTTCTGGCACATTAGTACTTAACGTCATCAAACAATAGCAGACAAGTACAAAGTGAATTGGAAAACCACACACAGAGAAAAAGATCAGATATATGTACTTACTTACAATGGAAGATAAAGCCTTATTAACTTTAAAGATAAAGCTGAACACCCTACACCTGAAACTAACATTGTAAATAAACTACACTTCAATAAAAAAAAGTTTTTAAAAAAAGCTGAGCAGCCTTGGAAGTGCTTTCATTTCAGGCAGTTAGTTGCTCTCTTAGGGACTTCAAAGACTTGAACTTTCCACAACATTAAGCTTTCCTCTAATGAAACCACGTGGGTGAAGAAGCTGCCAACACTTTTCCCTCAGTTAAAAAACAAACGAACAATAACAACAACCACCATTTGACTGATGGAGAAGCTACCTTCTGGATCAGATTTTGATGGAACTGCTCTCCATTTAAAGCAAATGATTTCAAGATTCTACATTTTGAAATACGAAGTGTGGTTCCAGAGTTCAGGTCTGCAAAGAAGTGGCTGACTGTGGGAGATACAAATATTAGTGGAGACTTGACAGCTATGGTACTTTTATTAGGATTGTTGTTTTTATTAGTGCTTTGGTCGCAAATTTTGAATCATGAGTGGTCTGCTCAACTGTTTTTCCCATGAGCTGTTCTATTTTCAATATACAATTTTGTGAAACACAAGGTGTTCAAACAGGGAAACATACCTTACATTCTAACAGAAATGCCTCAGTCATACATATACACACATATATTTGTTTTCATATTCTTTTTCGTTATAGGTTACTACAAGATATTGAATATAGTTCCCTGTGCTATACAGAAGAAACATGTTTTTTATCTATCTTATATATAGTATTTAATATTTGCTATGTATGTATATGTATGACTGAAACATTGTGCTATACACCAAAAAATTGACACATTGTAACTGACACATAGTAACTTCAGTTAGAAAAAAGAAAACACAAAAAAATTTAAAATAACAGAAATACCTCTCCTAAAGGAAATACTTCAGGTAACAGAATAATTGCCCCAGAGGAAAGAAAGGTTTGAGATGCCATCACAAATGATGATCAGAAAAAAAAAAAAGGTAAGTATATGGGTTATTCTCAGCAAACATTGACTATAGACAAGAAACAATAATTAAACAATAAATTAAACAATAATCTGGGGGGTAATTATGTTATTTATTTATTTATTTATTTATTTATTTATTTATTTATTTATTTATTTTAACAGAGGCACTAGGGATTGAACCCAGGACCTCGTGCATGCTAAGCACACATTCTACCACTGAGCAGTAATGTTTAATTCCAGGGAGAACTAAAATACTGGCATGTAATTGTTCAGATATTCTTGTGTTCCTGTGAAAAGGATAACGATAGCCACTGTTTCTCTTTTTATTAACTAGTGAATATTTATGGTAGAATTATAAGGAATAAAAAGGGAATGGTTAAAAATATATTCAAGATAGTAGTTCCTTCTAGCAGTGTGAAAGGAGGTGGGCATTGGGGTTATGAGAGGCATGTAGGTGAATTCACTGGTAATATCTTATTTCTTAAGATGGTGATTACCCAGTTCATATTACATGTTCTTTAAAACTTACACAGGGTTATAAATATTTGTATATGTATTCAATATTTATTTTTTTTAATGTTTCAATTATATTACAACCAGAGTATGACAACTTGTTGGTAGAAACTAGTTTTCCTGGTTTATTTCAGTTACCATGGTCGTTCTTCTATGGGCTGTTGTTTGGTCAATTACCGGCAGTGAATGTCTTCCTGGAGGAAACCTATTTGGAATTATAATCCTATTCTATTGTTCCATCTTTGGAGGTAAACTTTTTGGGCTTATTAAGTTACCTACGTTACCTCCACTGCCTCCTCTTCTGGGTAAGTGCTAAACACTTCCTGTTTTCTTTAGAGGTAAATCATATTTTTAAAACAGTAGTTTGGAAAGCTTTCAGAAATAAACATAAAGTATTTCTATATTTGCTGTACTACAGCCAAAGCCAGTTGTTGAATTTTAAATTCAGTGAGCCAGTGTTAAATTTTAAGTTCAGTGTTGTTAAAGTGATTTTTTAAAATTAAATTATATATTCTTAAAATTTTTAAGCTTGCATTAAAAACAAGAGCAGTGACTATTCAAAACTGATTACTTCCTAATTATTTTACTAAATTTTCCCCTTATCTGTGCTCCTTCTGTTATGGATATAATATATAATGGTGTGCCTCTGGCGCTCTCTTCCTAAGTCCACATTCAGTGACACCACATTGGTAGCTCAACATCAGCCACAGTGGAAGTATCTGTAAGGCAGAGATCAGCAAGTGCTGTACATCAGGCTTGCTATATCGTTAGTCATTCACATCACTGACAAACGAGTTAAGTTCCAATGAGCATTTTTGTTGTTTCATTTTCATCTTATTCCTTAACATGAAAATATCACCCAACATTCATGGTGACGCTATACTTGCTCATCAGTGATGTGAGTGACTTCTTTGCTAAACCAGATAGTAGTCAAGCATTCATTTAAGGTCTAATTTTGTCAATTCGTGTTTGAACTTCAACCACAGTGGGTTATGGATACAGGAGTTGAGGAATGAAAAACAATGAAAGCATTCTGTGAGAATCAACTGGCTATATAGAATTTACAGTGATGATTGTTGTACATCTGTGAACTGTATTCTAAACATTCTTTAGATCTGTAAAATTTATAATAAATATATAAATATAGATACATACACACACTTTTATTGGAGAGCCACTTGTTAAGCATTTACCAGGACACCATTGAGTGTATTGTTTTATCATTCTTATTTTTTAAAATTTAGCCAAAAATATTCTTCCAGAGGCTATGAGAACTGTTCAAACATGATACACATGAAAATTAGTCTTAAAACTGGGCATTGTGTCTTTAATATTTCTTCAAAGAATTCCATATTACAAAATTTTGATTTACCACTTTCCTTATACCACAAAAGGCATGTATCCATTTCTAACAGATGTATAAATCATCAAGTTTTATTTTAAAATCACTTCCCTTTTACACATGCATGTATATTTGCACACATTTCCTGAGTTACATTTTTTTGTTATTTTATATTAATGAGGACTGTCAGTATTGATTAACATAAACCAAAACTATTTGCTTTTGAATTTATGGTCAATAGTTGAAGCTAAATATAAAAAGAAGTCGGATTGTTTACATTTTACTGTGTACTATTTCTTAATATATTTTTCAATTTTAGGTAAAACTAAAGTCATTTCGCTTAATTCATACTATTTATCATGAGTGCTTTTTGTTCTCTAAAGTATTAACTGGATTATTGTTAAAATGAGTTGTTGCAAAATATGCCTGTGAGCTGTGATAAATGGTTGGCAAACTACCTCTTTTTGTACATAAGGTACTATTAGAACGTACCCAGGCTCACTGATCCACATATTGTGAGTGGCCGCTTTGGCACTACGGTGGCAGAGTTGAAAAGTTCTAACAGAGACCCTGTGGCCCACAAAGCCTAAAATGTCTCTGGCCTTTGACAGAAAACCCTTGCTGACCTCTGTATCTAAATCAGTGCTTCTCAAGCTTTATTGTGCAGAAGAATGACTTTGGGACCTTGTTAAAATTTAGCTGACTCTAATTGACTAGATCTGGGGGTGGGGCCTGAGTTTCTGCATTTCTCCTAAGCTCAAAGTCCACACTTTCCATAGCAAGATCGTAAGTTTTCAAACCTGGCTGCACGTAGGAATCACCTCAAGAAGTTTTTTAAAAGCTGATGCCCAGAGATTCTGAATTAATTGTTGTGGCATATGCCCCAGGCATCAGAACTTTTAAAAGCTTCCCAGGTGATTCTAATATGCAATCTAAGTTGAGACTGCTGTGCTGGACTTCAGTTATTAATTGTTCTAATCTCATTTTTTCTTGCATATTAAAACCTTTTCTTAACTCCTCTAATCTATTATCAGTTTTTTAATTTTGTAATTAAAAGTTTAACCTCATTCCACCTAAGCACTAAGCAAAGAAAAAAAGATGGTTCCTAAGATTGTAGGGTAGTCTCTTTCACAGCTAAAGTGCCAAAACCTATTTTCTGTATTTGAAAACTTACTAAAGAGTTGTTTGACTTCTCCATTCTAGGCATGCTGCTTGCCGGGTTTCTCATCAGGAATATCCCTGTCGTCAGTGATAACGTGCAGGTCCAACACCAGTGGTCTTCTGCTCTGAGAAGCATAGCCCTGTCTGTCATATTGGTTCGCGCTGGCCTTGGGCTTGATTCAAATGTATGAAGTACAAATTTCTAATTATTGACTAGGAATTTTGTTCCTTCACTCCTGCCGGTATTTAGAATCACTGAGCTTTAGGAAATGGAGTGGACACTGCATGACATTCACAAGAAAAGAATAGAATGTATTTCATGCAGGACTATCCCTGGAAGATGTTCCCATTCTCTTTCTTGGAGAAAGGTGGAGGTACCATCTGGGGACAGCACCAAGAATAAAGGTCCCCCCTTTCTCTGACAGAAATGTAGGCTGGAGTTATAGATGATGGTTGTGAGAGAGAAGATATCATATTTTTGGTGTGCACAGCCCTATGCAAGATTTTGGAGATAATTATACTGGCTCAGGAAACTGCCTAGTATATAGAATGAGTCTTAAGTATGTGGTTTTGTAATGCTTTTTTTCATGTATGTTTTGAATGTGGGAATGAATGTTCTTGAGGATGGAGGTTTTCACCCACGCCTCATTTGGGGGCCACAAATTATAAAGTTAAAACTGAGCGGGTTAAGTCAGCTAGTGTGGGAATTGTGAGCACAGACTGTGGAAGCAGACGGCCTGAGTGCAAACCTAGCTTCTCAGCTCACCAATGCCATGATCTTAGACAAATTACTTTAACTTGTACCTTTTTAGATAAGGACATCTACACAATGTGTGTAATAATATTACCCAAATCACAGGGTGACTACAAGGACTAAATAAACTATCTCTAAAACACTTAGGACACTGGATGTTCTGAGTGGAGCATTCCTGGAAATTTTATGGTGATCCAGATGTGGTCTGAATACAGAAGCAAAAGCATTTAATGTCATAATCTCTGCATGTCTTTAGAGCATTATTGTGGTATGTCTGTCTGTATATTTCAGGCCCTGAAGAAGTTGAAAGGTGTCTGTGTAAGATTATCCATGGGTCCTTGTCTCGTAGAGGCGTGCACATCTGCTGTTCTTGCCCACTTCCTCATGGGTTTACCGTGGCAATGGGGATTTCTGCTGGGGTAATGGTTTTTCTTTGTTGTATAAAAATATGCATAGACCTTTAGGGCTTTCTCTGATTCCATACAAGAGAAAGTTGTAATAGCATTTTCTTAAGGACGTCAGAAAATACAACATAGATATTCCAGCATGATCTAGACACTGTAACTTCAAATTATAGTATATGTGTATAGTATATGCCTAACTTTTGCAGATTATAATAATTTAAACTACTGGAAAAGTAATGATCTTTTACCTATCCGTGATTCCATGCCAGTGAGAGAAAAGCCAGATCTCACCTCAGTCTGCACAAAGGATAAGAAACACATCAATAGTGATCAACACCCAGCACTGTTTTCCTCCTTCTTCTGTCACCAGGCTGTTTGAATAGGTGGTTCTGCTGTCTCTTCTTTCTACCATCAGTTCTTACTTCTAATGGTTAAGAGCCAGGAGAAGTAAATAAATGTGAAAGTACTTGGTAAGAATTTAATACTAATACGTAGGCAGGAAGTAAGAAGTTTTTCCCATGGGTAAGACTCGGGCTGTACTGCTTGGATTCAAATCCCAGCTCTATGACTTTGTGTTATGTGGTCTCTGGCAAATTATTTAATCTCTCTGTGCCTCAGTTTACTTATTTGCAAAACGAAGATAATGATTGTAGCTTTTTCATGGGGTTGTTGTGAGAATTAAATTAGTTACTATATATAAAGGGCTTAAAACGGTGTTTGGAGCATAGTCAGCACTATAAAACTGTTACTGCTGCCATTATGAGTATCGCTGTCAGTTCATTATGGCCTTCTCCTTCTAATCTGTTGTTTTATTTTACATACCAGATCCTGATAAAAGGCCTACTGTCACTGGGTTCTAGTCCAGAAAGTCCGTGGCCATTTTTTTCAAACCTCATACCAGGAATGTTTTGTTTTGTTTTGTTTTTAAAAAGGCAGATTCCTGGGGCATAACCCCGTTAGATCTTCTATGCCACCCTTAAGTATATATTTTTAGGCAACTTAAGTAGTTCCAGTATAAGTTGTCCATGGCCACACTTTGAAAAAGTGTTCTGTGGAACCTGCATGTGTTTACGTTTCTGGTTTGGTGCCTTGATGCCATCTGAAAGACTGGTTGTCTTAAGTGTAACCTTTAGAAGAGTAGAGGTTACTATAATTTCAGTAATAATAACAACGAGTAAGAGACTGTCATATTTGCTCAAAGCACTGCCTGCTTAGTTTTGTTTTAGGTGCTGTATCTCCAGCTGTTGTGGTGCCTTCAATGCTCCTCTTGCAGGAAGGAGGCTACGGTGTTGAAAAGGGCGTCCCGACCTTACTCATGGCTGCTGGCAGCTTCGATGACATCCTGGCCATTACTGGCTTCAACACCTGCCTGGGCATGGCGTTTTCCACAGGTAAACTGATCCGTTCACCACGTGCTGTTCTCTTGCACTCTAGAGACATAGCTTGTGACGTTACAAGCATGGCATATTTGCTTGATAATTGATTTAGGCAAGTTAAAATAGGGAAAGCACCTCCCAAGAGTTAGTTCCATACCTACGGAGGGCCTGGTAGCTTCCTGTCTTTCTTTACCCTCTAGGCATAGGCTGCCCAAATGGTCTGCTAAGTGCAGAAACGGGAGATTCAAAGTGGCAACGTTTAAAAAAGGACTAAAACAGCTCCTGCATGGAGACTCTGGGAAAGTTTAATCTGGAAGACTCCACACAGGCCTGAGTAGGTTTTCCATGAGCACAGCGACAGAGAGCAGGCCAAGTGGCAGGAACAGCGCTCTTCTGAAATAGGAACAGTTTCTGCTCTCTCATCTTCAACGTTTTTTGTGTATGTACTGCAGGCGCTCAGGGCCTGGTAGGTTCACGGATTCTGGCAGATGGAAGAACACTCTCAGAGCCGTAGGTATTTCTGACGTGCCTTTATTCGCGGAGGAGTACAGGGGCTTCAATGGCCGCAGGTGGGGAAAAGCCCCTTCTGCCTTACATATCAAGGCAGCTAAAGCCAGCATCTAGCCAACTACGATAGGAGCTAACCAGTGCGCCTGCGTGGTGCAAGTCATGCTTACATAGCACCACACGGGTACTGCGCATGCGGGATAGTACAGCTGAGTCACTGGGCGCCTGATGTCCGGCGAGGGAGCGTGAGTGACTCCATTTTCCCTACAGAGTAATAGCAGCTATGATTTTAATGAGTAGTTTTTAATACTTATGAAGTGTTTGATATGGGCACATTATGTTTTAAGTAATAATACTGAAAGAAGTTAAGGCATTTTTCTTCTCTTCCACGGTTATTCAACACTTTCTCTCCTTTGGTGCAACATAAATTAAAGTTCGTTTTTTAATCTGCATCCACGGATGCAGATTAAATCACAGATAGGTAAAAGATCATTACTTCTTCAGTAGTTTAAATTATTATAATCTGCAAAAGTTGGACATATACTATTGGGAGATAAGATTTGCAATTTCATATTATTGACAAGAGGTAATGTAACTTAAATTTACTTTCAGATTATTTAGTGGGGACACATCTTAGAAAGTCATGTATTTTTAGTCTCTCCACCCTGCTATAGGTATTTTTTGATTATGCATGATTTCTGCTGATTACCTAGCACTTCACCTCTTCCCATCACCCCAAAATTGCCTCATATCCAGCCCCTGCTGTGTCACTGGTGAATTAATCTTATCAAAATATGGCTTTTAAAATGTCACTTTCTTGTTCGAGATCCAGTGAGGATCCCCGTTACCTATTAAGTCAAATCTACACTTTTGTCATTTTTAATTCTGCTCTACCTATCCAACTACATTCCTACTGTTTTCCTGGTATATACCTTTAAAATATTCTCAGCCTCAGCTGCACCCTAGGATTACCTGGGGAATTTTTTGAAATACTCATGTAGGCACTACCTTAGACCGGTTAAATCAGAACCTCTGGGAATGGAAACCATGGCTTTATAGCAACATAGGGTTTGCATTATAATCACCTGGGATGAGAGCAGGCAAGGAGGAGGGTGTGCTGGGGTGCAGGCATGGATAGCTTGAAGTACCTTCTCGGTCAGTAATGCTGTTTTCCTTCTGCCCTGCCCCACTAAATGCGGTCCTTAAGCCATTTGGATGGGAACTACCTGAAGCCTCTTTAAAAGGTGAATCCCAGGCCCTGCCAGATTTATTCAGTCAAAATTTTCAGAAGTGGGGCCCAAAAAGTCTTTAAAAAAAAAAAACCAAACAAACAAACTTACTATATCAGAGACTGAAACCAATTAGCTCTTTTCTACACATTTATAGTAAATTATTTACTGAAATAGCTGAAGACATAGGCCATTATCATACCTAGATGCTTTCAACAGTCACACCGGTACCTAACAGAGAGCTGTCCTAGCTAAGTAAGATTACTACAGAGGTAATTATTGTTTTAAATAAGAGAGATGATTGAAACTGGAGGAGAGGAAAAACCGTTTCCTGTCTACCCATCTTAGGTTCATTGGCTGGGCCCTGTAAATCAGACTGACCAAAGACATTAACGAGAGAAAAACAGTTTATTAGCATGTATGAGCGCTTACACTCAGGAGTACTCAGTGACGAGTGACTCTAAGGAGTGGTTAGAATTGGGGCTTATATAGCATTGTAGCAAAGAACAATAATTTTGTAGAGAAGTGCAAGGCAAAGGAAAAGGACTTTGAGCTTTTCAAGACAGCAAATTGTGGAAAGGCAAATATATGAGCAAACTCTTGTTAAATGAGGTTTCAGCGGTTTGTTACATAGATTCTGCTGGTGCTGTCCCTGGGCCGATAACGGTTCCGGGTTGTCTCAGTGGTTAACTTCTGTCTTTCCTGATAGAGAGGGGGAGAGGGCCAACTTTTATAAATTTATCTCCTAC